CCCACCCAAACAATGTTGAAGATAGTTAAATGAAATATCTTTATATCATCAAAAATGTTCCCCGCAGGAAACCATTTTACGTGTAATTATCTTATTTTATCTACCTCATAAATAACCTGCCAATGAGCCAGTCTATAGTGAGTGAGATGGAGCACCACACTAAATGCCGTCTTCCGGTATATATCGATCGTTCTAAAACCCGTTGAGACCCGTCTATAATCTAATGACGGGCAGAAAACAAGAGGTATCACTAAAATGTGCAACGGAAATTATTTTGGTGCTACGGACACAGCGGAAATATATTTTTTTAAAAACAGGCAAAACGTGTGCGGCATGTTATTCATTTAAATAATTAACATTTAAGTTACAAAACAGATTAAGTGAGTGAAAAAAGTACGCTTATCTTAAAACGTATTACAAATATTTGCAATAGGTTATTTTGAAGGATTCTGTGACCGGCGATTGTTCTGTTTAGCCCACAGGTGGCAGTATCAGTGTTTGGACACCCCATCCCTATCTGCCCCTGGACCCCTACTACAACCCTGAAAAAAAATAATTCAACACTCTAAGGCTTACTATAAGGTACCAAATACAAAACCACCGATAAAATGATATAAAAAAAAATTTTCCACTATCAAAATTATTGTTATAGAAAGGTGAAAAGCCTAGTATATGTTCATTTGCCAAACAATGTGGAACACGGGAAATCGTCGTTTCGGTGAGTGAGGCGCATTCCGGCAGGATTTCGCTACATCGTTCATTAACATTAATAGAAAGAACTAGAATTCCACAGCTTATCTAATTCAAGTCTTACGAATATCACTATCATTCCGATTTTTTCTGTTTCACGGTATTTTTTGAATTGTCGAAGCCATTTTGCAGTCTGATACCTGGGTTGAAATACGCGATCTGATTGGACGAGCCAAATTTGACGTCCAATCAGATCGCGTATAACACACAGGTATCAGAATCCAAAATGGCAGCGACAAGTCAAAAAATAATGTGAAATAGAAAAAAATCTATAGAATATTGATATTCGTTAAACTTGCATTAAGTAATCTGTGGAATTCAAGTTCTTTTCATTGATGTAAATGAATGATGCAGCAAAATGCCTTCGGAATGCGCCTCAGTCGCCGAAACGACGATTTCCCGTGTTCCACATTGTTTGGCAAATGAACATATAGTAGGCTTTTCACCTTTCTATAACTATAATTTTGATAGTGGAAATTTTTTTTATATAATTTCATCGGTGGTTTTGTATTTGGTACCTTATAGTAAGCCTTAGAGTGTTGAATTTTTTTTTCAAGGTTGTAGTAGGGGTCCAGGGGCAGATAGGGGTGGGGTGTCCAAACACTGATACTGCCACCTGTGGTTTAGCCTAGATTTTTTTATAACATTTTGTGGTCCAATACCTAAATTTTAGGCGAATATGCAATCTTTTGTTTAATAATACGTAACAAATAATTGATTATATATATATATATCAATTTATTCATAACTATTATTTGATATTACAGACATATTTTAGTCTGGTTCCCGTCGTACTATAAAATTAAGTACTATTGAACGGAGAGAAAGGGCAGGTAATCCAGACTAGACATATTTTCGCTATTTGTAAAATAACAGACAGTTCGTCCTCAAAATCATTCGAACATTATGCAATTCGCACCAATATTTAAATGGACATATTCTCGGCACATATTGTCTTGAATTTATTTTAAGTTTACCAATAATTTCAATTTCACTTGTTATCCAATTTATTTTGCTTCGACCAGACGTTTCAATCTTTGTCGCAACAGACAAACATTTCAGAATTTCAGACACATACCAAGAACATGGAGAAAAAATTAATAAGTGCTTCGGATATTCAACTGTAATAGAGAACGATTTTCAATTCTGATTTTGTACATTACCTGTGACTGTTCACATCATTTGGCGGCGTCTTTGATGTGCAGCATCAACATTTAACTTGTTTTTTAATTGTATATGTTGTATTTTGGACCGGAGGCAAAAGGTAAGCATTATTATACTCAATGAAACACTCTTGTGGCAACTCTTTCGAATTTCGAGCGTTGCTGTTCCCCGAAAGCTCTTTTTCTTATCAAAGTTGGATTCCATATCTTTACAAGCAGCCCACTTTAAACTTAATGAGCATGATTTACTTGAAAATAATTATCCAGATGTACTATAGAAATATCATGTACGTTGTCATTTTTACAGTAAAAAATTCTTCTGGGCATTCCCCTTATATAATCCTAGTTGTGGAAACTGCTACTTTTGCCGTAATAAAAGCTTACTTAGGAATGAAGAATAGTTTGGGATTTTCCCAGCTAGTCTGTAGGTACACACATTTTTTTTACAGTTACAGCTTCGAAAATAAGAACAACAGGTTGTCTTACTCAGTTCGCCGTGAGGCAAAAACGGTAAAAGTTTGTACCGGAATACCCACATTTGCCGAGTTCCGAATAGCATCGAACTTTTTTCGCTTGAACCCGTAGGGCACGTTCAAATTTGTTGAAGAGATCGGTAGTGAGAGTCAACCGCGGTTGATTTTTTTCATGTATAAAAAGATTATACATTGTGGGTGCAAATCCTGATTATATACTTGTTTATTATGGTATAAAATGAACAGAGCAGTTCTGTTCTGTTATAAAATGATACAAATTATTAAGCCGCTACTTGAAGGAAGCTCAGCTTAAGTAAGGCGGTTGATTTTATGTACATGTATTCATATATGTAAGCATTATTATATAGGTGTAAGCTTTGAAATATTTTTGCATTTTTTTATTGACAACAATCTAGCACATACTGACTTAACGTTGTCACCATGCATGTCTATTATGCGCAGAAATAATGCCTATATATATGCCTATCTTCTCATGAACAATGTATAGTTGCTGTATATTCAGCGTTTATGTTTCAAACGAATTTTAAGACATAAAACTATATTTGACAAACGACATTAGTGCATTAATTCGGTTTTATAATGCCTATATGAATTCGCATTAATGTAACTGAAAAAATATTTTTTGAACTAAATTACGCTCAAAACCAACAATTTAAACCATTTTTGGTGAAATATGATTTACACACTTATTGACTAAAACGTGCTGTAAGCACATAACAAAAGTTATCACAAGAACTCAAGGACATCTTCAGAGTTATCACGAGAACTCTGTGGCATTTGAAAAATAATGCATAAATTTGTTAGTAGGGGCTTATTTGGAATATTTACTCAAAACTTCCAAATTTTAAGAAAGAGTCGATAAAAAATGATCTATTTAAAAGCTTTTTCTGACACATAAAACAATATGTAAGACAAGCTTAATCATCAAAGTTAAATTTAGCATTACATACTCCCTTTTTTTAAGATGAAAATTACATTTTATATCTTTTTTATTTTTTCGCAAATGCAAGAATGCGAAAATGTAACAATGCGAAAATGCAACAATGCGAAATTGTAACCATGCGAAAAAAGCGAAAATGCGTGTGTTTTGTGTATTGATTTTTGTATTTTTAACGCGAAAAAGCGAAAATACGATGGATGGAATGCGAATATACGACCAATTTTATGTATCGTATTTTCGCACTTCATCTGTTGTATTTTCACTTTTTTCCCTCGAAAATCCGAAAAAGCGAAAATACAAGGAGACGTCAAAGTCCAACTTTGTCATCCCTTCGTGTTTAGGCATTTTCGCCTTTTGAGGCGAAGAAGCTAAAATACGACATGGCGTAAATCAGAAAGTATCAAGAAAGCAGTCAACATTTTAACAGCATAACATGCAGCCATGTGCATGACAATGTCATTGAATATGAAGCCTATACACAACACTTTGAGACCTGAAGCCAATCCTTTTGGAAACAAATATCATAAGACTAACTGCAGAAAGTACATTTAACATTTTAAAAGTTCAAGAAGAGATAACTCTTAAAGATGCTAAAGTTATGAAACTTGTTATGTACATGCAGTGACTGATGACAAAGAACATTTACCTTAAGTCAAAAGTAAATACCATGGTTTGAAGTGAATCCCTAAAGAAGTAAAAAGTTAAAAGGGCAGATAATTCTAGAAATGTTGACGCTAAAGGTATATATTTTCATGTCATTATGATGTGGTTGATGATAAGTATGATATACTTGAAATTTCAAAATCCTTTGTGAGATAAAGCATAATATTTTTAGTTCAAGGGGTTGTTATTCTGGAAATATTGCAGCTTTGCCACATATGATGTGGCTAATGATAAGAAACATATATGAGCGCGTCATGCTGTTCGCTATTAGTTACTCTACTTGTAATAGAGTTAGCAAGCGAACAGCATGGATCCTGATCAGACTGCGCGGATGCGCAGGCTGGTCTGGATCCATGCTGGTCGCAAACCCACTATGTTGGTTTTGTCGTGACGCGGCTCATATTTAAAGTTTGATGAAATAAAGAAATAAGAGTAACAAACAACACTTTTAAAGGGAAAATTTGAAGGTTAATTCCAAGTTCAAGGCCAATGGAGATAATTCTTGAAATATTGGTACTAGAGTTATCATCCTTGTCACATATAATGTTGTTGATAATATGAAACATGCATTTGAAGTTTGAAGTAAATACCCTATTGAAGTAAATAATGTAATGTAAAATCAACATTTTAAGGAAAATTGTAAATTCAAGGGGGATTAGCCTGGAAATATTGGTTCTTGAGTTATGAACCTTGTCAAATATGATGTTGTTCATGTTGATGATGAGGAACATATATTTGAAGTAGATACTTTTAGAAATAAAGAAGTTATAGTAAAAGATAAATTACTACACAAAATTCTTCAGGCGGACGCCGACGCCGGCTGAGTAGGATAGCTTTTCATGTAAATACATCGTATTGTCGAGCTATCAATGGTACGATGATCACAGAACCTTGGTCGGTAAGGTTTTTTTTGTATATTTACGGTAATTGCAAGTTGAAAATTGCGTTTTACCGTACTAAAATCTAACTAGATAATGTAAAACACCGAAATTTTGTTTTGAACTTGTCATTTATAGAACTTTTTCTTACATTCTTTCTAAGATTAATATATATAAAAATATAAATGAATTGATATGTCTTTTAATTTTTATAAATCTGTTTGATCCAGCGATCTGTATCTGAAATTTTCAAAAACTGTAGCTTATTGCATGTAAAAATTATGCTTAGAGCTAAGCAATCGCAACTTTTCGGCCCTTTCCGTAAGTCTTCGTAAGTTATTATAGATAAAAGCCGAGGATGTTCCAGTTGAGAGCTAAGGTAATGTTTATTTTCTACAGCAACAGAAGTTGGGACCACAGCCAGTGTTCTTACAACTGTTGTATCTGTAAGTGTGCAGACCTTCTTTACCGGTTTCCGTATTGTCTAATGTTGCACTGTTGTACAAATGTAGTACGTTGAAGCAGGACTTTCTGAAAACACAAAATTAAAAAAAAAATCATTATATTTATTAATGATTATTAATTATTATTAATAATTAACATTAAAACTATTGTTTCATTTAAGTTGTAAGCAATTCATGCATTTAAATCTAATTCTAAGCATATTTTAGAGAGAGAAAAAAGTTAGGTATATATAAAATACTGATATTCTACACACCAAAACTAATTGCCGTGAAAACTCCAAGCCGATAAGTTTGAAAGTCTAAATTATTTCAAATCTCATCTTTCAAAGGAATCGTTAACTAATTAACATGTTCTTTAGTCAATCACCTATTTTTTATTTTTCATTTATATCAAACATAAAACAAAGCAGGCATTTCCAAAAGTGTTCTAATTCCCTGCGGGCTGAAGCCCGCAGGATACGCGTATGAAGGAGCACGTAACCTGTTTTCGATATATGGAGGAGCACGTGATCTGTTAACTGTATATGATTGGTTAATTAACCTTTCCAAAACTCTAGCTAAATACCGTATGCCTGTACGTTACGGATTAAGCTCTGGGAAATTACAACTAAACACTAGTGTGTGATATATTTTGTTTTTCTAATTTTCTATAATTATTTTAACGTTTTAGGTGGACTAAAAAATGTGCCCCCCCACTCCACTGTTTTGTCATTGTTATGACTCTAGGTCAATTGTTTTTGGCTACATGCGCCACAAGTTGAAAACTTAAAACCTTTCATTATGTAAAGGGCAAGAACTTTACAAATACTGAATAAATCCACAAGCGAACCCCAAGGTGCATAAGTACACATGCTGACCAACATTCTAGTAAATTTCAAGGCCTACAGGTCAAATACTTCTTGAGCTATGCATGAACAAGCTGAAAATTGCAAATTTATACTAAGTCAAGGGCAATAACCACATGCAAATACCAGAATAAACTCTGACAAAACAGAATAAATCCACAAACAAAACCCTAGGTGCACAGCTTCACATGCTGATCAACATTCCTTTAAAGTTTAATGACTCTAGGTCAAAATCTTTTTGAGTTACATGCAACACAAGTTGAAAATTGTAAATTTTCAATAAGTCAAGGACAATAACTCTAAAAATACTAAATATATTCACAAGACAATATCCAGGTTCACAACTACTTATGCTGATCAACATTTCTGTAAAGTTTCATGACTCTAGGTCAAATACCTTTTGTGCTACATGCGACACAAGATAAAAAGTCAAGGGCAATAACTCTAAAAACACTGAATATATCAAGACGAAAATACCGAGCCCCGAAAGATATATACCTTACTACGAACAAAATAGCCGTCTGGATAACTGTTAGTTTACACAAACATACATACATAATGATGAGAATGCGCAAGATTAAATATGACTAATACACTGAAAAGTAAGTGAAAGATAATATAACACATGCCTGTCATTGTTAAAGTGCATATTAGACAGGACCTGAGAGACAGTTGGCATTTCTTTTACTATACCGAATTATTGATGTAATATTGATTATATCAGGTGAGAGAACTAAAACATCACGTTTCTTAAGTCTATATAGATTACTCTCCCAAAATAATATTGACGGATTTTACTCATATCCAGGATAACACCATGTGACGTCACATTAGGCTATATAGTGGGGTATAATAAAAAAGAATAAATAATGCCTGAGACGATTTTGCAGAAAATGTGGCAAAACCTTTATCTGATTCTAGTTAAAAATAATATGAACAAATATCTTATCCAGGTTTGAAAAATAATTACAAAAAAGTTTGAATTGATTGTTTAGCCATCTATATATATAAGCAATAAGTATACTAACGAAATCTTGCTGCATACATCATCACAGGTGTCATTGCCAGAACAATTTCTTCTCACAGCGTAAACGTGACGGGGCGCTCCAGGCAAAATAGCAGTGCACGTGGCCTGTGCTATCTCGTCTTTGAACGCATTCGGATTGGGTAGAGGATCTTGAAAGATATTAAGTGCAATTTTTATTATTAATTATATTTGTAAAGTCATTAGAGACAGACAGACAGACATATACAGTAATAATACTGTTATTTACAATCAGGTTCTACAGTTAATGTACATGAGAACAACCTGATTTTTTCACATTGACACATATAATATTTATACACATGGCAGTTTGCATGCAGATTATGGTATGAATATAAATTGTGGAAAGGATTTTTACTAATTTTTCTATTTAACCCAATACTTCATGAGCATTTTGTGAAAAATGGCTGTTTTCATTGAACAGTCTCCCGTTACAAGTTCAAATTGCTGTAAAACTATAAAGACTGCTTCAATACTAATCAAACTTGGCACAAATGTTGACTGGACCATTGCCTTTGTAACGACATGCTCAGTCTTAAATTTCCCGTTACCATGGCAACGAGGGGACATCTCAAAATTGCCAAAAATCACTATTTTGCGTTGATTTTTTTCCATCAGAATTAATTTCAAAGTGCTGCAACTTCTCAATGGATTAAGATAGAGTCAAAGGCTTTTCAGCGTTGGTTACAGGTTACCTTATGATCGACCTGGGGTCATTTTTAGCCTCTCACAAGTCCAAAATTTTTCTTGGCGATGAGGGGGACTACCGCCCCCCTTCAACCCCCCCCCCAAACAGAAGGGGGCACATCCCCCTTCTGGCAACCCCTGATGTATCTTTTGGATAGATGGCGGCGCCGAAAAAGTGGCCACTTTTTTAAGCAACATTTCTCAAACAAAAACGAGTGTCTGGGGCCTAAATAAGGCATTTTTTCACCATTTGAGACAACAAATAGGGGGCGAAAAAGGCGTTAAAAGGCGTGTATATCCGGTAATCACAGTGAAAATTATCAAATACAATTTCACACTTTTCAATGACGAAACTACTTTTTTAAGATTTTCCCCATGTGGTACCTAATTTTTTTTTTTGCTAACAATTCTGACAGTGTCAGGTTGTTTACAGAAAAGCAAAGCTGAAATTGATAAACAACTTAAATGTCAAAAGTAATAAAAAGAAGAAAACTTACTTCTATTCATTCAAATTACAATCACCAAATATATGTCTCTATTTTTTGTTTGATTTTTACAGTCTGAAAAATACATTCCTTCCACATGCAAAACTGCTCTTGATGACATTTAGGCATAGTTAAGTATCCTACGAGCAATAACTGCTATACGCTTTATGAAAACATGAATAGCAATGACAGCCATCAGCCCATAGAATAAGTAAACAACCCAGCTTTCGTAAGGCAGCCTTTCAACAATTCCAAGTTTTCTAATTTCCTAGCCGCTTTTTGAATGTTAACACATCTGTCAACACTTATTTATTGTCTGTTACAATCCTCAAATAAGCTTTCTTTCTTTTAAAAAGGTGTATGACTAACAAATCCAAATGATATCCCTATAAATCAAACACAATTATTTTCCTCTCGTGAAATACACAACTTTTAAAAATGGCGGCCGCTTACATTTCACAAAGCCAGGTCTAATACAAATTCGCAGTAAGTAACAGAAATATGGATGGATGGTTTTACTTTTTCTCCTACAAGAATTGTATGTTTTTATTGTTAAAACAAGCGATCATTCTAATTTTCTAATAAAATGAATGATATCACCGCCATTTAACGTTGATTGTCGAACTTATTTTCAGCCCAAGACTTCTTGTATTTAATGAGAAATTCGACTAAATGAGGCTCCCAATGTTGAAAACAGATTTTAATATTAACGTTAAAGTGACATTATGCTCATATTTTCATAGTCAAGTTGAATTGACTCTATATATTTCAAAAGATTGACTGTTTAAATGGTGTTTGACAGTTGATATTGGAAAACGTTCAGGATAAAATTGTAAATATGCATAAAATATAAAAAGACTGTCTCACTCTTTTTATAAACTGAGCGTTAGAGGTAAATTCTAATAGAAATTTACAGAAATTTTATTTGGATCTGTGCATTATTTATTGTTTATGGGAAGTAAATTATTAAATTTAAAGGAATTATGGCAAGTTGTAACTTATTTTGATATTCACCTGTTCACACACTATATACCCTTGGATGGGCATTATGTCACTTAAATATTATGGAAGTTTCGTTTTAACTTTTTTTAACCATAAAATAAAAAGAATAAGAAAAAAAAAAACTGGACATACGATGTCTCGATCTTACAAAACGTAGGGCCTTTAGATATTTCATACCCGTAGTTTACCCCATTCTCTATAACGGTCAGTGCAACTAATTCATAGTAACAATATTAATTTTATGTTGTGTAAGTAGTAATTTTATTTCATCTCGTGAACTTTTAAAACGGCATTCTCTCTCGTGGCTACGCCACTCGTGAGAATACTGTTTTTAAAGCCCACTCAATGAATTTATAAAATTTCATCTTACACACAAACAAACAAATATCCTCCATATACTCGGTCATCAAATCTTAAATTATACAGTCACTTTAGCGATTATACAGCAATTTACGTAGTACAGATTCACAAGTGTGGCAAGGTAGAGTTCATAGAAATTGAGGATCTCGTGCGACTTTTGGATGTATACACGTGGGTTTACATAAATATGAAATACAGTTTATAAATAAAGTATTGAACTGATGAACACATGAGCTGAAAAAATAACAACATATAGATTGATTTGATTGCCTGCGCAAGTTATTTTTTGACATTTTTTTTCACAATTTGGAAACCGTTGCATCATGTTAATACAATAATGGCTCGGTTACATAACGTGTGTAAAATACCACATGTAATCATCAATCAATCAAGTTTGTATCTAAATATTGTTTGATTTTATTAACCTGTCAATTCCATACTGATTATACGGTCAATGCACAGAATATATTAATAATATCTAAATTCCGTTAGATGTAGGCAGTAAGATGTTGTTACTATGAATTAGTTGCACTGACCGTTATAGAGAAATAGGTTAAATATCTAAATGCCCTAAGTTTTGTAAGATCGAGACATCGTATGTCCAGTTTTTTTTTATTAATAACTATTTTCAACATTTTTGAAGTTATGGTTAACATGTTTTGCAATTTTTTGGTAAATACTATACTTGTTTAAGAATTAATTTTCAAAATTCATTCGGATTAAAATCAATAAATGTCATTTCAGTGCCGTAAAATACAACACAAAACGTGACAGTTCAACGTTTCTTAGTTGTTTCATATCAGTGTACACAATTTTGCAAACGCTTGAGAATTTTTATTAAAAGGTACTTAAATATAAAGAAAGAATAAGCCTAAAAAGAATGTCAAAAGAAGGGATCGAACTTCGGACCTCTCATACATTAGGTAATCACTTAACCGACTGTGCTGTTGCGGATGTTACGAGAACCTACATTAAGCTATTTGGAGTTTTCCAAATGTTAGTTATATACTCCTTGTATCATAGTTTGGGGACTTTTCTGTTGAAAATGTGTCAGAGTTAAATCGTATACATATACATGTAGTGCGTTAACTGGAGTGCAGGTATTAGTTACCACACACTCAAGAGCGTGCCCATTGATTGGTTCATTTTTGCTGGGGTTTACATATTGTGACGGAAGAGAAAGGGAAAGCGACAGAAATATCATATTCAGATGCTCGTTCATTGGTTACTTTTTCCCGGGGTTTCGTATTGTGACAGCAGAGAACGTGTTTTTATGTTTGACTATGATACAAAAGAGAAAGAACACCAAAACACTCGGCAATCTGATTTATACTCGGGGGCTACGCCCCCTCGTACAAATCAGATAGCCTCGTGTTTCGGTGCTCTTTCTATTACATATTAATTCTCGTAAAATAAACGGACAAACCCGAAGTGGGATCGAATATTTAAATGAGTGCTATAAGACAGGTCAATAAAATCAGACAATAATAGATTTTACAATGATTTGTCGGTAAGACTTCTGAAACAATACCTAATTCTTTCATAAAGTTTATCAACTAAATTCCTGTGAAAGTTTTTGAAAAATGTCCAACGTATTTTTTTCAGATTTCATTGAGAATACTTACGTTTATTGATAGCGCAACAACAATAATTTGGTCCACAACCTGGATTAGTACATGAGTTGTATTTATATGCACGAAGGCTCTCCTTTCCTGTCTCGGTGTTTCCTATCATGACTTCAGGATAGACGTGTACAGCATTATAGCAATGTTTCCTGGCAATGAGAATCACATCAATAATATATGAACAATCAATTTTATGAAATATTTTTCTAAAAGAGTTCCAAGCCAGTTTTTACTACGTAGTGCCACACAAGCACTGTTCTGAAACTTCTATCTGTTCAGGGACATTAAGGCAGATGTAAAATGTCCATGTACAGGGAAATACATAAAATCAAAGTGCTCAGTAAAGGTGGGATGACAGGTACTACGTTAAAGGGAATGTGGAGAAATATTGTGAAGTTAACATAAAATCGATCATTGATTAATGATGACCAATCTTGACCACCATTCGTTCATTTCTTCAGGTTTTGCATTTTATTTAATGACAAGGCTGGCACAAATCTCTATGTACATAAAATGTAATAGATAAGTAAGAATACATTAATTTATATCTAGACAAATCGTTATCAATTTAGTTCAACAATTTTTGTTGGAAATACATGTCTTTGCACGTCCGGACTTGTCAAATTTCCATTTTTTTGGAGCTGTCCATTATCTGTAATGGGGATATCAATATGAGTTTGCCAACAGTGCAGCGAGGATGTACAACCCGGTTTGGGATCACTTCCGCTTGCGTCAGGTAAAAGGCACGTAATGCATAAGAAACGGGGAAAAATTTGCGATAAAGGTAGCGAAATATAAACAAATAGGTATTTTGACTTCCATACAAAATGCTATCTACTATAAGAGTTTTACTACTTGCCAAAAAGAAGAAAATATGGCTATTAGTTACTTTTTGGAACTTTAACATGACATCAAAAGTGAAAAGTTTTTGGGAAAAAAAATGACAGCATTTTTAGGCTTAACGAGCCTGAAAGGGTTTGTTTATTTGAAAACATTTCTTCTTGGTAATGAAGAGGGGTAACGGGGAAAAGTCATGGCGACAACGTTAAAATAACAGATAAAATTTCCATTTCAAATGTACTATGAATACTCAAGATACTCCCTCGTGCATTTTTTAATCACGAGATGGTACTTGGCTAGAGGCAGAAACCATCCGCAAGCAGACAGGGAAGCTTCGCCATATAAACTAGAATGCCGTCCCTGACAGGATTTTAGCCAACATCAGTGATTGCCAAGTGATTGATTTGAGGACAATAAAAGTAAATCACTTTAAATTCAAAGATGAAACAAGGATTGTCTTTGGCATATTTGTGTTAAAAGCTGTTGTTTAATGTATGAATTAAGTGTGTATATACCCAAGTTTAGTGCACACCGCATCACATGTTTCTTTAGAGCCATAATTGCATGACCTCCTAACAGCATATACATGATCCGGTCCGCCAGTGAGTATCGATGTACAAGTTCCTTGTGCTATTTGGTCCTTATAGTTAAATGATTGTGCATGACCTGAAATAAACGCTGCCTTGGTGTAATTATACGTATTTATAAACTAAGTACACAATAAAATAAGCACATCAGGGTCTGAAATTTCGCTACCATTATTTGTTTGGTCTAACAACGAAATCATTTCTTTTTATAAAAAAAAAAAGCCGTAAAACAAACCTTGAAGTGGTAGGTATATTATTCAACTGACATTTTGTTATGTCTCATTTACATTTTTTTTTAGATTTTGATAATTGTCATTATAAAATTTACAGATGATTGTAAAAAAGATATTTAACTGTACATTTATTCAACCGCGTTACATAACATGAATAATTATATTTCCTGAATCATTTGCAGTCCTTATTACTTATTTGTGCGACTGCACCATTGGATTTTTTTTTAACTTTGAAAATAAACATAAAATTAAATTCATCGAGCTTTTCCAAAACTTTTCAAAGATTTTTATGAAATTAAACTGAACACACGAGAATGTATGTCTCGAAACCACTTTCAATTTATTCAAATACGTTGTTAATAGTTCACTATAGCAATAAAATTCATGAAAATTTTGAAAATTATTTAAAAGTAAAATATTGTGAAGTGAACAAAGAAAGTAATTTACACATTGCAAACGGCACTTACAATCCACGTTTATAACCAAAAAGAGGTCAAAATATACATACGAGTAAATACCTCCTAATGTGTTAGTAACGCAGCAGAATACTCAGTAGAATTATAGTGAATGATACTGCAAAATCAGTCATTAGTTGCACATAACATGTAAATAATTAATTAAATATTGAATCTTTTAACTTTTCTTAAAATCTTAATACAATTTTCAAAAGACTGAATTTCATGAAACATTTGGGCTCATCTGGAGGCGTGCAGCTTGAAATAAAAGGATTAGAAATTGAAAAGAGAAAGAATTTTCGTTTTATACCAGACCAAATACATAATTATCATATTTTTAAGAAAAATGATCACACTTGTGTGTAACATAATTCTTTATTTCCTCAAAACTCTAAAACACAGTATAGAGGATATTCAAGTTTTGATTTTATTTTCTATGAATACAGGATTTGTTTTCATCGAGTGGTATGAAATATGATAATTATATACTTATTTATTATAATTATCCTTTATCTCTCTCCTTAGACCTTACAATTCTAAAGACTTCATTTATTTTGGGAATTGGCTGAATTAAGAAGAAAGTAGTCCCGCAAGACACCAGTGAAAATACGGTAAATATGTCTCATTGCAGTGAAAAATAAATTTTTACAATAAAAATACGGTAAATGAAAATACGCATTTATTTCATTAATATTTTTTCAATATTTCATTTATAAGTATAAAATAAATATAATGTACTGTTGGATTTATACACAGAATTTTTCTTTTTGCATTAAATTTAAAGGCTTGTTCTTCATATATAGTAGATGATATTTCTCAAAAGCACAGTAGTTTTTTTTATATAAAACTCTTTAGAAATGTCAGACATGTGTTTAATAATGGTTCAATAATGGATTTCGAGCGTGAAGATGTTTAACGACTGGGGAAAGTAGCGCTGAACGTGAAATAACGTGTCATAAATGTAGCAAAATGTAAACAAAATAATATTTTGACTTCTACACAAAATACTAAATCACTATAATTATACCATTTGCCAACAGAGCAAAGAAAGCAAAAGACAGTTCATCTTATCACAAATTATTTATTTTTAAATGCAACAACATATCAGAAATAAAAAAAATGAAAAATAAAATTGATAGCGTTTTTTAGGCGTAATGTGCCTTTAACCGTCAGATAACTTTTATTGCACTCCGATAATATCCCGTTTCTTTCTTCTGAAGACATACTGGTCATAACAGAATTATTTTGAATTGCTTACACATTTTACTTAGTATAAAATGACTAATAAAATTTAAACGTTTGTGTATTTTGATAATGAAAGAAAAAAAGAGAGATAGATAGATTTATTTCGGCAAAGGAAGCATATACATATAGTTGACAATATAACATAGGATAAAATAATGAGCATTATTAAATACTATATCACATACGAGTAAAACTATGACATGCTCACCAAAACCAAGGATAACACAAAAAGGGCAAAAAGCTCTTATTTCCATTGTGGTCCTTTGTATTGGCGGCATGACATAGAGAGGCAAACCTAAATATAATCATGTTTAAAAATACTAATAAATCATAAAAATGTATATCACAGTCAAATCTTGAGTTAATGATACTCTTGTTTACAGCTAGGATTTAAAACACATTACTAAAATTGTAATAAGATAACTAGCAGACAATTTAAAATCCTGAGCTGAAAAATATATAAAAACATGTTTAAAAAAATGTTAAATACTGTTCATAAGATGGCTTTTGGTGGCAACCTTAAAACTTTGTAACCTGTTGATCTCCGTTAACTTTACAGGTAAATCATTCCATAATTTAATACCAGAGAAAGCAAAGGATTTAGAACCCTGGCCTTTGACCTTAGGTAGACAATATCCACCCTTTTGACTAAGTCTTGTACTATAAGTATGAATGGAATCTTGTGAAATAAAGTGTTCTGACATGTAATCTGGAGATAGGCCATTCTTTATCTTAAAAACATGACACAACATTATCTGTTCAACTCTTTTGTGGACCGGTAACCAGTAAGGGACTTAAAGTGGGATGGGTCAATGTGCGCTCTGGAGTCCAAGTCAAGTACAAATCTCATTAATAATAATTAATAATTAAAGAAATAATTTGATTTCTGTCAATCTATACATAAAGCAGCAGCAGCAACAACAACAACAACAACATGAATGATAATAATGATAAGTCAAAACTTACCAACAAAATGCAGCACAACCACGAACGCTATAAAGATGACACTTGTGTACTTTGACTTCATCATTACAAATGTATTCAAAAATTTTAATTATTGGTAAAGTGTTTTAATCCATCAACAGAACTGAAAACAGAACGTTTTCAACCACCTGTAAGACATACCTTTGTTTTTAAGGCTGGACAAGAAAAAACATTTGGTACTGTTTTTGTTACAAACTAACAAACACATTGCATGCTTCGATTTTAATATATTTTTAATATTATTATGATATATTATAAAGGTCGGTAGTTACACTTTTTTTTAAAGGAAAGAAGAAACTTCCACGGAATTTATATTAACAATTAAAGTCCGAGATACTACTTCTACTCTTATAGCATTTTAGCTACTAGTAAGTAGCATATACAGGGTTGCCAAATATTTCTGTTATACTTACAGATATTTTACACGTTTGTATCAACTCTAGTCATTATACTAAATCGCCTTGTTTCTATATATTACTCGATTTTTCACCATTATCTATTAAAATTTGATAAAATTCCGTCGCCCAATGGTTAAAAGTGCGTTGACTCCAAAGCACTTGCCCCTCATCGCTTTGGGTTTCTTGCCTGAAATAATGCACGGAGCGACACCTGAGGTCTTCCTCCTCCACCAGCAGACGAACAAACCCAAATGGTAGAAGCTGGGCTGGTGATGCTTAAGTGTTAAATATTTGATTTAGACTCAACAAAATATAATTTTAAATTTAATATATTGAATACTCGCCAACATTTTATAACAGTGTCATTTTATTTCATATCTGACAAATTATATTAATAAGTTTTATGTTCAACCAAGGCACTCGTAGTTGCTTACATTCATCAAGTTAATTTTTGTCCTCATGTTTTTTAGCAATAAATGAGATTTTTGTGACAATGATTTGTAACAACATTACTAGATATTGATTTGTGGAAAACATAAACCGATTTGACAAATTTAAAACAAACTTGATTCCAGCTAGATGAAATGTACAAGAGGTAATCAAGCACTGGTGTATTGTGATGAAACGGGTATTGTTGAAAATGCGTATGTGAGAAGTTAGCAGTGAACAGTGAGCTAAGCAAAAAGGCATTTCAATTTATATAGGGAAGGTAATGATCTGCTGTAATGCTCAGCTGTTTTGGGCATCTAGCAGGGCATTCCTAAATATAGTGTTAAAATGCTCTGCTGCAATACTCAGCTGTCTTGGCAATCCAGCAGAGCATTCCTAGCTTTAGTGAAAAAATGCTCTGCTGGAACGCTCAGCTGGCTAGGCAATCTAGCAGTGCATTACTAAATATAGTGAAAAAATGCTCTGCTGGAACGCTCAGCTGGCTAGGCAATCTAGCAGTGCATTACTAAATATAGTGTTAAAATGCTCTGCTGGAATGCTCAGCTGGCTAGCTAAACTGGCTAGGCAATCTAGCAGGGCATTCCTAGCTTTAGTGAAAAAATGCTCTGCTGGAACGCTCAGCTGGCTAGGCAATCTAGCAGGGCATTACTAAATATAGTGAGAAAATGCTCTGCTGGAATGCTAAGCTGGCTAGGCAATCTAGCAGGGCATTACTAAATATAGTGAGAAAATGCTCTGCTGGAATGCTCAGCTGGCTAGGCAATCTAGCAGGGCATTACTAAATATAGTGTAAAAATGCTCTGCTGGAATGCTCAGCTGGCTAGGCAATCTAGCAGGGCATTACTAAATAAAGTGTAAAAATGCTCTGCTGGAATGCTAAGCTGGCTAGGCAATCTAGCAGGGCATTACTAAATATAGTGAGAAAATGCACTGCTGGAATGCTAAGCTGGCTAGGCAATCTAGCAGGGCATTACTAAATATAGTGTAAAAAATGCTCTGCTGGAATGCTAAGCTGGCTAGGCAATCTAGCAGGACATTACTAAATATATGGTACAAAATGCTATTCTGGAATGCTAAGCTGGTTAGGCAATCTAGCAGAGCATTACTAAATATAGTGAAAAAAATGCCCTGCTGGAATGCTAAGGTGGCTAGGCAATCTAGCAGAGCATTACTAAATATAGTGAACAACTGCTTTTCTGGAATGCTAAGCTGGCTAGGCAATCTAGCAGGGCATTACTAAATATAGTGTAAAAATGCTCTGCTTGAATGCTAAGCTGGCTAGGCAATCTAGCAGGGCATTACTAAATATAGTGTAAAAATGCTCTGCTTGAAATGCTAAGCTGGCCTAGGCAATCTAGCAGGGCATTACTAAATATAGTGTAAAAATGCTCTGCTGGAATGCTAAGCTGGCTAGGCAATCTAGCAGGGCATTTCTTAAATATAGTCATTAGTGTAAAAATGCTCTGGTGGAATGCTAAGCTGCTAGGCAATCTAGCAGAGCATTACGAAATATAGTGTAAAAAATGCTCTGCTGGAATGCTAAGCTGGCTAGGCAATCTAGCAGGGCATTACTAAATAAAGTGTTAAAATGCTCTGCAGGAATCCTCAGCTGGCTAGGCACTATAGCAGAGCATCCATAATATAGTGAAAAAATGCTCTGGTGGAATGCTCAGCTGGCTAGGCAATCTAGCAGAGCATTACTAGATATAGTGTCAAAATGCTCTGCTGGAATGCTCAGCTGGCTAGGCACTATAGCAGAGCATTCCTGAATATAGTGAAAAAATGCTCTGGTGGAATGCTCAGCTGGTTAGGCAATCTAGCAGGGCATTACTAAATATGGTGAAAAAAATGCTCTGGTGGAATGCTAAGCTGGCTAGGCAATCTAGCAGGGCATTCCAAAATATAGTTAAAAAATGCTCTGGTGGAATGCTCAGTTGGCAGACTGATTCTGAGTTCCAGGATTTATTGTTGCCAATGTTTTATTGACATTTTCGACTTCTGGGCAATTCTGAGGCACTCGCAGACTTTCAGGAATTTTCGGTGGCAATAGAAATAATGATATTTTTGACTTCTAAGGACCTTTAAGAGACTATTTCATTGTCCTGCGACTTTTTGAAGGACACTCGCAGACTTTCAGGAATTTTGGTGCCAATGCTGATATTGACAATTAAGACTTCTAGAGACCCTCAAGAGTCCATTTTTGTCGTCTGCGACTGATTCTTGGACACTCGTAGACTTTCAGGAATGGTAAGTGCCAATGGAAATAATCATATTTTTGACTTCTAGGGACCTTTAAGATTCCATTTCATTGTCCTGCAGCGTATTGTTGGACAATCGCAGACTTTCAGGAAAGTTTGGTGCCAATAGAGATGATGGCAAATTTTACTTCTAGGGATCCGCCAGAGTCCATTTTTATGGTCTGCGACTGATTTTTGGACATTCGCAGACTTTCAGGAATCTCTGGTGCCAATGGAGATAATGACATTTTTGACTTCTAGCGACCCACCAGAGTTCATTTCGCTGGTCTGCGACTGATTTTGGAACACTTGCAGACTTTCAGGAATTTTGATGCCAATGGAGATAATGACATTTCTGACTTTAAGGGAACCGCCAGAGTACATTTCTTGGGTCTGCGACTGATTCCTTGAGACTCGCAGACTTTCAGGATGTTTAGTGCCATTGCAGATCATGACTTTTTTACTTTTAAGGACCCCTTAGTCATAAGCAGAGCATTTTTACCCTAAAATGTCATTATCTGCATTAGCACCAAAAATTCCTGAAAGTCTGCAAGTGCCCAATAATTAGTCGCAGACCAACGAAATAGACTCTGGATGGTCAAAAATGTCATAAATTGTAATTATCTCTATTGGCACCAACAATTCCTGAAAGTCTGTGACTGTCCAAGATCAAGTCGCAGACCAAAAAAATGGACCCTGGATGGTCCCTAGAAGTAAAAAATGTCATTATCTGCCTTGACATCAAAAATTCCTGAAAGTCTGTGAGTGCCTCAGAATCAGTCGTAGACCAAAAAATGGATTCAGAAAGGTCCCAATAAGTCAGAAATATCATTTTCTGCATTGACACCGAAATTCCTGAAAGTCTGCGAGTGACTAAGAATCAGTCGAAGACCAATGAAATAGACTCAGGAGGGTCCTTTTGAAGTAAAAATGTCATTATCTCCATTGGCACCGAAAATTTCTGAAAGTCTGCGAGTGTTCCAGAAACATTCGCAGACCAACGAAATGGACTCTGGATGGTCCTAAAAATTCACAAATGTCATTATCTGCATCAACACAAAAAATTCCTGAAAGTCTTCGATCGTCCCAGAATCAGTCGGCGACCAAAGAAATAGACACTTGAGGGTCCCGTAGAAGACAAAAATGTCACTAAATATTTCAGAAAGTCTACGAGTGCCAAATAATCAGTTGCAGACCAACGAAATTTATATACTTTATTTAAAGAATGCCCTGCTAGTTTGCCTAGACAGCTCAGCATTCCGGGAGAACATTTTTACACTAACAGAATGCTTTGCTGGATTGCCTAGCCAGCTGAGCATTTTTAACACTATATTTAGGAATGCCCTGCTAGATTGCTTAGCTAGCTGAGCATACCAGCAGAGCATTTTTCGCACTATATTTTGGAACGCTCTGCTAGATTGCTTAGCCAGCTGAGCTTGCCAGCAAAGCATTTTTACACTATATTTAGGAATGCCCTGCTGGATTGCCTAGCCAGCTGAGCATTTTTAACACTATATTTAGGAATGCCCTTCTTAATTGCCTAGCCAGCTGAGCAATTCAGCAGAGCATTTTTCCACTATATTTTGGAATGTCCCGCTAGATTGCCTAGCCAGCTGAGCTATTCAGCAGAGCATTTTTCCACTATATTTTGGAATGTCCCGCTAGATTGCCTAGCCAGCTGAGCAATTCAGCAGAGCATTTTTACACTATATTTAGGAATGCCCTGCTAGATTGCCTAGCCAGCTGAGCATACCAGCAGATCATGTTTACACTATATTTTGGAATGCCCCGCTAGATTGCTTAGCCAGCTGAGCATAACAGCAGAGCATTTTTACACTATATTTTGGAATGCCCCGCTAGATTGCTTAGCCAGCTGAGCATAACAGCAGAGCATTTTTACACTATATTTTGGAATGCCCCGCTAGATTGCTTAGCCAGCTGAGCATAACAGCAGAGCATTTTTACACTACATTTTGGAATGCCCCGCTAGATTGCTTAGCCAGCTGAGCATAACAGCAGAGCATTTTTACACTATATTTTGGAATGCCCGGC